ATTAAGTATTCTGTTAGAATTTAATGATTATCCTAATTATATTTAAGATTTTTTATATTTAAAATTAAATGTTTATCCTATATTTGATTATATTTATCTGTAGTTAGTTACATGAATTCAAAGATATAACTTTAATAAGTTGTACTTACACACAACTTACTTGTAATCTTAAATTTTTTATTTTTATCATTTTTCAGATTTAACCCCAAAAAAAATATCATTTTTTATTTTTATCCTTATTTTGTGCTTTTTATGAATCTTTTGGTCGTTTGGATAAGAGGTACATGTCGTTGTAGCACACAAACTTATTAGTCGTCCTTTTTATTCTTCGCTCAATAATAAAATCATATTTAGAAGATATTTAATTTAATATATAAAATTAATTTTTTATTGATCAAATAGTCTAATAAAAACAAAATAAATGATAAATAATTTCAAGATATGATTAGTAGCAATAAAACAATAACTAAATGATAATTAAAAAGTTATTATAAAGGGAAAAAAAGGCATATATTTGTAAATATCAATACGTTGCGGTATGTATACAGACAATACATATATACATGAAGATCATTTAAGAAAGAACTGGTTAGTTTATGATATGTGTAAGATTCAATCTCAATCATAAATCAATGGATAAATTAAAAATAATTTTTTTTTGTAATTTGACTTTAATTTTTAATTAAAGGGCATTTTAGATATTTTAAAAATCTCCTTTCTCCGACCTCCCACCTCCGGTAAACCTTATTTCGACGAACACCAAGTAAATACAACATATACAAGATACACAATGTGACACCTAAAAACATCGACAATGTTAAAAAAAGATACATGCAAAAGATCTGTTACACAAAATACATACAATACCCACTGTGATACCCATTGTGATATTGTTGTGATACCGTTGTCTAAGTCAAATTAAATTAAATGATAATAGGGGCCGAGGGTCAACATAAGGAAAAAACAAAAAATCGAATAGGCGCAGAGGGGCGGCCCCTTTAGGAGATGAATAGGATGAAACCGAAAGACTCTTTAAAAAGTCAAGATTAGCAACATTTATGAGAATCTTTGATCTTTAAAGGCTTAGTTGTATGACAATTTGACAATAAACACACACTTTATCTTTTTCAAAATAAATATCTATAACAAAAAAGATATATTGTTTTAGTAACATTTAGTTATTACATTTTTAATAACTAAATAGATAAATTTATCTTTAATTATCAAGAGAGGATATTCTCTTCATCTCATAATTAAGGGTATAATGGAAAATTAAAAATTAACTTTTGAAAGTGAATATTTGTTGATCCAAACTCTCTTAATGATTCGATGATGACTCTCTATACATAGTGAAATATGCTTGTTCTACTTCTATTCAGTTTCAGTGATCATCATTGAGTTTGTTCAGTGATCGTTGAACATGTATTGTAAACTTATCAAAGAACAAGTATTCCTCAAAGATAAAACTCACACCAAAGGAATCTTCAGGGATGTCGAAGAAATAGCTGGAGACAAAGACATAACAGTTCGAGATCTGAAGTTGATTCAGTGATAACAAGAATGCCTAGATTAAAGTGTGATACCTGACCAAGACTCAGCAAACACTGAAAAATCTTTAGAGATGAATCAATGTCAGCGATCAAATGAATCTTGTTCTAGAAGATTAGCTTTTGTCTAATTCTCATGCACAAAGAGGACAACTCTATACCTCACACAGAAAAGTACACCTACGGAGTTAATTTATTGTCTACAAACGTGCTTACCAACTTTGTGAATGACAACTGTTCATATGTGGCCAAAAGTGTGCATATCTGAAGACAAAGGACAAACACTCCACTAGAAGCTTGTCATGTGGATTGTACTCTCTTACTTACATTGGATGCAATGTGTATAAATAGCTGAAAATGTTCATGTTCTCAACAAGCACCTTCTTCTCCTTCTAACTCTTTTCTCTCATGTTCTTATCTCCTTTTGTGCAAACTGTGTGTTTTTTAGATGTTTAGATTAGGTCTTAACCTTATCTTCTCAAAAGAACATCCCATATATATATATATATATATATATATATATATATATATA